TCGGTTACGCGGCTAAATGTCAATCAAAAGGTATTTACGAAATCAAACGTCAATCAAATGCTAATTGTTCGTATATTAACGGAACAACGCACAAGAAAATGATGGTTAGAAAAGCATGGAATTAAATTCAAGTTGCCCAGGAGAAAAATGTCAGAAAACAGCGTTGTGAGGGGGTTTTCCTCATGAAATTTTGAAAAAGTGTGCTAATATTAACTAATAATAACTATATTAACATAATAACAGGGGAAAAAATATAAATTGCACAGTGGAGGTTTACGACCTGGTTAATTGTGTCCTTTACCAATGTTGAAAATTTGACAACATTCGGTTGAAACCCAGTGGAGATATCGTGTGCGAGATATTGATGATCCGTCAAGGACCATGATGCAAAATTCTCATAAGTACACAACTCTAAAGCTTTCCTGTAAAGTATCATTAAAATGTACTGAATTGGTCTGAAATGAATCCATTTTGTGAGTACTTTTATAGTGGAAACAACGGTTGCTATGGGTGTGGTTATGTTGAAATATATCTACAGGTGTGCAAAAATACGTTTTGCAAATGGTCTGGGATATTGAATCTTCATGTTCCTAAAAAATTTATCTCATTTCTGGAGAAAAATTTACATCTGGAGTTGATTTTCAGAAAATGACTCAATAATAGATGGGCAAAAGATGAGTCGTGAGCGTACCCATGATATTTGGTACGTGCTTCCNTCCCCGCCCCCATCTCCCCGGGGAAAATTAATGACGCGCTCACCTGCACATTTATATTTTTGCCCACTTGAAATTCTTAACGAATTCTTTTTGTTTTTGTTTTTGTTTTCATTTTAATCTTTTTTTTTTTAATTGGCCAAATGTCATACAGATGGACTATACAAATGGTTAAATCCAGCGGTTAATAGCATCAAGATTCCGATTTAGTACCCTGAACCCTCCAAATAGGGTTGCTAAATACCTAAGCCCAGTCCTCTTACCAAAGATCATCGCCAGACCTCATTAGTTGAACGCTTGCCAAATATTTCATACCCAGATCAAGATAAAAGCATATGTCCATAATTATAATACATATATGACGACAGCATTAAACTGAGAGACATCGCAAACGATAGATTTTTTATTTAGATAGGTCGTCACGTTGAAATAAGGACTGAAAAAGAGGAGGGAAAACAATTGTTCATTTTAGTAAAATAATCACTGGTATGACACGAGATGTTTGGTTTCAGAATTGTGGGTCAATGAAGGTATAAGAGGACTTCCTGTATCGATCGATCATGTATGTTTTCCTCTTTATTCTGTTGAAGAAGAACCGACTTAGAGAACTCTTTCTGAATAAGCAATAGATTTTAACACACGTGGCATTTTGAAATCTTACGTTCAGACAAATGTCGACTTTTTCGACTGGGAGGTTTGCCCCC